GATCTAGCTGCGCCGTCGTAGGAGTGTGGCTCACCTCAGCGATAGCTAAATCGTAACAAACAGTTAGTGACCTTTTACTTTTAAGCTTTTCAGTGCTGACGTATCCCTGTACGTGTGGCACACACTAATCCTAGATAATTAATTACTCTCGAGAAACAAAACTACTCTCTACCGGTGGATTAATTCGGTAGTCTGTAGGTGGGGTCTTAATAAGAAAATAATGCGTTACGAAATAATAATTAACTATCCTAATGCCACTCGATCAATCGCGAGACAAGTATTACGACCGATCTTGCCGTTATACGGATTAATGCTTTCGAAATATAACGGAATATTCAGGAAAGAATTCTCGTTTCAGAGTAAATGGATACTCGTTTATTAATAAGAAATAAAGGAAATCGAACGTCTTCGATAGGGATCTAATGTACTTCAACTGAAAGGCGAACACAGAACACTATTCCGAACACTGAGAACACTTTAGAACACACTGATGCTAAGTCTATTCTACATTGCTTTTATATCTTTCAGACTGACTAATTAATCTATTTTTAGCATCGGATGACTAATTGCAAATTAATAATTATTCTCTAAGTTTATCACTATTCCTTCTCTGATTATTACATCCTGCTGTTACTGCGCTGTTTCGTGCTGTACTGTGCTGTTCCGTGCTGTTCCGTGCTGTTAGTGCGACTGTGATTCTTAGTACCACCGTTACATTCTACTGCCGATCGCTGAGTCCTGGTGGCACTATCGGTTCCACAGAAATTTAGGAGGAATATGTCATCGTCAGCTCCCAATCTAAGTTATCACGCTGCGAACAGTAATACCAAAATGATTTTTTACCATTCTGTCCAACGTATTTATGGTGGTAACTATTGATTAAGAAATGTGAGACGTTTAACATTTGTTTATAACTTAATCTTATTTTTGCATTACATGTATATTTAGACAATATAAGCTTACACCCAGTTGTATTCACCAATGTCTTCGATTAGGCCGACTATTTCGTTAGCTATCTTTTTTGCAGAATCATCAAAGTTGCTAACGTCTAATGCATAATGTAATTGCGTTGCTAACAAATTTCTATTTTCCAAATCGCAATTATTAAGCAGCTCTCTTAAACTTTGACATAGAGCTTCGATTTCAATTGTTTCTAAACATTCTTCATTATCACGGGCATTATTACTAGTTGAAGGTCTGTTTCTTTGATTGCGACAATTGTTACAAGTACGAAATTGCTTTGGATTGCCATTCTCATTCTTATCCACGAATTCGCTAGAAAGCTTAGTGGTTTTTACAGCAATTACAATAAAAACTTGACAATGAATTCATTTTAAAGAAAGTATTTCGAAAACTATGCAGCGCGAGCGTATACGCGTATGTCGACCTTGTGGACACTCAATAATTTAATTGTGTTAGACGCTCTAAC